GTTTTGTACACCGTGTCCTTGCACTTGCTTAGGATCAAACCAGGAGTACCGTGGTGGCATCATCTTTGTGATTACTCCGTTTAGAGATTTTGCATGTACAGTAGTTTATGATTTTTTTGGCTTGGAGCAGAGAACCATTTGCAGATTCACCAAAAGTAGCTCAAGCCCGCAGCCCAAGCGTCTGCAATCTAGCCATGTCATCTGGTGTCACTGTCGACGATGAAGTCATTACGCAGCTCGAGGAATTCAAACTAAAACGCGCCCCTAACGACCACCGCTACATCATCTACAAGATCGTCGACGATACGACGATTGTGATCGACTCAACAGGCCCCAGATCGGAGTCGTACGAGGATTTGGCTAAGAAGCTGACCCAAGTCACTACTGACTGCCGATATGCGCTCGTGGACTACGATGTGACCATGAAGGACGGCCGCTCTAACAGCAAGATGATTTTCATTTCATGGTCGCCGGACACGGCCCGAATCAAGAGCAAGATGCTCTATGCATCTTCGAAGCAAGCCATCAAGCGCGCTCTCACAGGCATCGGCATCTTTCTCACGGCCACCGACGCCTCGGAATTGTCAAGCGAGTACATCGACAACAACATTTCAATGTTCCTGTAGAAAGTGGTGGTAGCTTCGGTTTGAAGAGAGTATTTCAGCTTGATCTCTGCCAAATAAATGGCACGTGGTTGCTGTAAAACCTGAGAACTGAAAGTGCATATATAAAGCAAAACTTGCTTGACTGTCATTTTATGTTGCACATTTTCTTAATTATAGTTTTATTGGAGTGCCAATTGAAATACCGGTATTAGTAGATACTCATTTCTTAAACAATTATACTTTTAATTTTCAAAAAGCATAAAAAAAATATCGCCAATCAAACAATTGTTTTCGAATGACACACATTTTGTCAGCTAAAATTCAAACTAACCAATCAGCGGGCGAATCACATCACTAAATTGATCAAGACAATCGAGCACCATGCCTCGCCGAACGCACCTGTCTGTAGCGCAGAAGGCGGAGCTGCGTCTGTACTATCGCGCACACCCGGGACTCACACATGAGGACATCATCCGCTGGGCGCAGATGCGCTTCTCTGTCCTGCTGGGGCGCTCCACGGTGGGCTCCATTTTGCGTGCACCACAGGACACGAGTCTCAACCCTGCATCCAAACGTAACCAAGAGGGACGCTTTCCTCAAATGGAGCGCGATTTGTACCAATTTGTGCTCCGATCGCCTGATCTGTCTCTAATAAGTGACCTAGTTTTGTGCTCCAAAGCGAACGAATTGCTCCAAGGACAACAATCTGTGACCAAATCGTGGGTCTTCCGCTTCAAACAGCGCCACGCGTTCTCGGCACTCAAAAGTCTTCGCAATTGCATCGACGAGTATGAGCCACGAGACGTGTTCAATCTGGACGAAACGGGACTATTATATCAGATGACACCGCGGCAGCTTCAACCTAACGAGACTAAAAGACCAAAATTGCTGAGTATTGCGCTCTGCTGCAACATGGATGGCAGTGAGAAACTCGAGCCCGTGGTGATCCACAGTGAACGGAATGGACTAAACAACACTCAAATTCCAGTTCGACTATACTCAAACGACCAAGCTTGGATGACGGGGGGCATTTTTTCAGATTGGCTGCAAGCTTTCAACTCTATAATGGAAAATCGGCATGTATTGCTGTTGGTAGACACTGCGCCGTGTCATGGATCGGAAACGAAGGATTTTGGACTGAGCAATGTGCGAGTTCGATTCCTGCCGCCCAATTCTCCTCCATATCTTCAGCCGATGCGAGCTGGAATAATGCAACAGGTCAAGATGAACGTCAAGATTTTGGGCGTTCAATGGATGCTTGATCAACGACGTGCCGCTGGTTCCAGACACTTGGAAGCGAAGATGGGACTGCTGACTGCCATGCAGCATATTGTGCAGGCTTGGCAGTATTTAATGCCGCAAATGATTCGTAACTGCTGGGCTCACACTGGAATTATCTCAGGCGACATTGTGCTCGAGTTGCAGCAACAAAACATGCCCAAAATCCCACTTGATACGTCAAGACTAGACGAACTCATATCTCTACTTGGACTAGATGAACCCATTACTGCTTCGCAGTATATCAATTTGGAGGAGAATGTACCAGAGTGGGTTCCATTCTCGGAGGAATTACCTCCAGCACCGCGATCTCGTCGTGCTTACCGTCAAAGTAAAGAACGAACTGCAACAGAAGAAAAAGAGGAGGACCAAACACAAGTCAAACCTTTGAATGACGCCGAGGCTCTTGCTGCTGCTCTCCAGTTATCTGCGTACGCATTTGCAAATCGAGTCGAAGTCCCAGGTCTTGACCACCTCATTCAAATTGCTCGAGAGCGATGCCACAATCGCCCCTAGATGTTGCTTTCTCAAGCTTTTGATGGCAATTTGTTGTCGTCATTGAAGTCCCGTCTAAGGCAAGTACTTCGTCTTCTGGTCATCGAGTGGCACAGATTTATTCTTCACCACATCAGCGATCCAGTCGTTGATGGCCGCGGCAATCGGGTCAACGCGCGTTTTCTGGATGTTGTGCCCTCCTCCGGCAAATGCAAGACGCGGACCAGCGTAGCACAACTCGCTCAGTTCCGTTGGAATTGACTCTTGAATGTACTCATCGCTCTGCGACCACGCAATTAGAGTCGGCGTCTGGAGGCGTTTAAGCAACGCGACTTGCTCGCGTGCCAAGTCGAAATCGGTGGTGCCAGCACGAACGACCGCAGCGACGAAGGGATCGGCCGACCAGTCAGCAGGGAAGCGTAACAACTTTGTGTAGATGGCCTTGACGGCCTGAGAGGCGAGAGAAGCGAGGAAGGCGTTCCCAGAGCCGAGCATCTTGATCAAGAGTGCGTTAGCTCGAGGACGCATCACATGATGAGGGCTACAACCGACGGGGGCAAGTAAGGCCAGCCCACGAATGTTGCTAGCAGGTTTTGACTTGGCTGCATTCATTGCTGCCATGTTGATAGCCGTTTGTGCGCCGAATGAGTGACCCACTAGAAATACGTTCTCGTTGCTGCTTGTAAGTTGCTGCAGCGCGTTAAACGTTAACTGTGCTGTCGGAAGCGCACTGATGCTCTCCAGATAGCGCGATTTGGCTACAGTGGATCCTTCGTATCCGGGGAGATTAATGCCAATAATTCGCACTCCTGGACGCTGCACCAACGGAATGAGGTAGCGGAAGTCTTGATAACTACCAGGAGCGCCATGTAGCAACACAATTGTCGTTTGCTTGGTGTTGTTGTCGTTTGTTGGCTGGATATCGACATATTCGATCTTGCAGCGGTCTTCAATGTCGATGAATTCGGGGAGTGGAAGTGGTGGCGGTGCAGCGCGACTCCCTCGTGGAATTAGTTTCTTTCTGCTCGGAAGGAAACTGAGCATCGAATACTGCTGATAGACAGCAGAAAGAGCCTTGGTTGTGTGAGGTGGTGAAGATCGGGAGAGTCCTCGCAACATGCTGATACCACGTCAAAAGATAGCAAACTTAGAGACCCGAGATGACGAAGATTTGTGTTGCTGAGTGCAAATTCACGTGTGAGCCCCAGTTTTGCTGCTGCCATTTCCCGTCATTCTCGACGAGATTCCATTCCCCGACGCCTCACTCACGCGAGCGCTGTTTGCAGCATGTGAATAGTCTTCAAACCATATTTCGTCATGTCCTCACGCAAGCTCTGTTCGCGTGTTCAATATGGCTACATTACAACAGCAAACTGACTTCAATATATGTCTCTACAATCATATTTTCCCAGACCTCGTCCTTCCTAGTATGTGTTCTACGGCAAATGCTGCGTCATACCGGTCTCAAGTGAATTACACCCGCTCAATATTGACTGAATCCACGAACTCATAGCAACTGTGACTTGTTCGACTCGAGTCTTTTGGATATTGTGTCCACCTCCAGCGAATTCAAGACGAGGGCCTGGGTGTGACAGCTTTCCAAGTTCTTCTGGGATTTCAGGCTCAACCAGAACGTCGTCAAGTGCCCAAGCTACGAACACGGGCATTCTAGTTTCCTTTAGAAAGTTCACTTGAGTTCGAATCAATGGGAACTTCGTAGTACCTGCACGAATCACAGCAGATACACAGGAAGTCGCTGGTGTCCGTCTGGGAAACCCAAGAAGCTCCGTATACAAATACTTGACAAAGCGTGTTGCTAAGCGAACCACGACAGCACTGCGAGATCGTAATAGTGTGACCAGCATCTTTATCGGTATTTCTTTGACCATTCTTTGAGGAACGCACCCTGCCGGAGCCAGCACTGCGATCCCTCGAAGTCTGATTGTGTTGACGTTATCACCAGCAATTCGCAGCGTCTCGTTCATTGCTGCCATGTTGATCACGGTGTGGGCACCAAAGGAGTGGCCAACGAGGAATATATCACCCCCATCAGTTGCTATTGTACCGCAAAGTTGACGAATCGCTTGCAACACCACTTCTGCACTTCGTAGTGCTGACACTGTCTTGAGGTAGTGTGCTTTGTCCACCTCTGAGCCCATGTAGCCTGGAAGATTAACACCGATGAGACGAAGACCAGGCTGCTGCTCTGCAAGCAATGGGATGAGGTAGCGATAATCTCCAAAACTCCCAGGAGCGCCATGAACACATACAACTGTCGCTGAGACGTGATCCTTGGATTGTGTTGGCTCGACGTCAACATACTCGATTTTACAGATATTGTCGATTTGGAGATACTTGGGGTCTGGTAGTGGTGGCGGCGGGGGGCGAGGCTCATGTACAACACGCGGAGATCTGCAACAAGGCAGGATACCCAAGTAACCCGTAGCTGGCATCACGTTTAACAAGCGTGAAGACTAATGCTAGTCAACTAGAGCCATGTCATACTTCCAAGAATAAATCGCAGGTCAATACAACCCTAGTGTGTACATGTACTAAGTATGAATACGACGACTCGGGTTCCTGAGTTCAGTCCCTGATCTTACGCTGCTGATGAGACTGGCTCCTCTAGCTTGTCTGTAGCTACGACTTCTTCGATCCACTTGGTGATCGCGGATGAAATTTCTTCCGCACGAGTCTTCTGAACGTTGTGGCCACCACCGGAAAATTCCAGGTGTGGCCCATCCGGACACAACTTTAAGAGTTCTTGTGGGATCTCTGGCTGGATATGTTCATCATTCTTTGCCCACGCGACGAGAGTGGGAGTTTGAAGGCTTCCCAGCAACTTGGCTTGGTCTCGAATCAAGTCGAAGTCCGTTGTACCCGTTCGGATCACCGCCGAGACGAATAATTCCGCTGGCGAGTTACTCGGGAAGCGTAATAGTTTGGTGTACACAAACTTGGTGATGTACGTGGCCGCACTAACAGCCCATGAGTTCTCGGACTTGAGCATCTTCACCATCAGCGCAATGGCCCCTAGCTTCAGACTTTTATGCGGTTCACAACCTGCAGGGGCCAACAAGGCCATACCACGAATGGCAACACTTTGCGTCTCCGTCGCATTAAACGCCGCCATGTTCATGACGGTGTGCGCTCCGAAGGAATGACCAACCAAGAAGACGTCTCCGTGTTCATCCTTGGAGTCACAAAGCTGTCGAACTCCGTCCAGCACTAGCTCAGAGGTTCGAAGGGCGTTGACAGTCTCGACATAACGAGCTTTCTCGACCACAGAACCCCCACAACCAGGAAGATTGATCCCAATGATACGAAGACCAGGATGCTTAGCAAGAAGCGGGATGAGGTAGCGGAAGTCTCGGTAGGTACCAGGAGCACCGTGGACCAGAACGATCGTCGCAATCTTTGCTACAGCAGGTCGAACGTCGATGTATTCGAGCTTACAGCAGCCCTTGATCTCCAAATACTTTGGCTCTGGAAGTGGAGGCGGTGGAGCGCGATACTCTCGTGTAACTAAAGTCGTTCGCTGAGGTAGAAGACTTGGAACAGAAGAGACGACGGAGTAGCATTGACGACCAGCATATTCCACGCTTCTTGCAGAAAGTGACAGCACCCGGTTACTAACCGAAGCCACACGATTCCATAGCGCCATCTTGACCGTAATACACTTCGAACGGAAAAATAAATTGTGAGGTACTTCAGGATGGAGTTCTCACAAAGCCTTTTCCGTCCCACTTGCATCTAGTATTAAAAAGGTTTACAAGACAAGAAATGGTAATCATTAAAAAGTTTATTGCCGTTATTATGGCAAGAGTTGGATTGGCTGCTCTTTAGCGTGATCTTCTTCATCTACCACTTCTTCTATCCATTTGCTCAACGCGTTGCCAATTTGTTCTGCTCGAGTCTTTTGCACGTTGTGTCCTCCCTTAGCGAAGACTAAACGCGGTCCAGGAGAACAAAGTCGAGCGAGTTCAACAGGGATCTCTTCCTCCATAAACACGTCGTTCTGCGACCACGCAGCGAGTGTCGGTATCTTCAGCTCACGCAGAATATCAACTTGTTTGCGGATCACGTTGAAGTCAGTCGTTCCTGCGCGGACAAGACCCGCGAGGTAGTGACCAGCTGGCTGATCACTAGGGAACTTTAGCAGTCTAGTATAGATCGCTTTGATAAAGTACGACGTTAATACAGAGATCACGGGGTTATCTCTCTGCAACATATTCACTACCATAGCACTCTCGCGAGGCCGCAGGACCTTATGAGGCCGGCAGCCAGCAGGAGCCAACAATGCCATGCCCCGAACCGTGAACTTCTTGTGCTTCTCCTGAGCCGCCACGTTGATCACCGTGTGTGCTCCGAAGGAGTGACCAACGAGGAACACATTGTCACTACCTTCGTGTCCACCACAGAGCTTGTTCACAACTTCTAGTACCAATTCAGCAGTGGGCAACGCGCTGACACTGTCGAGATAATGTTCTCCAGATACTTTGGACCCGGCGTAACCTGGCAAGTTGATGCCGAGGATACGCCAGTGAGGGTGATTCAGTTTTGGAATCAAATGACGGAAGTCATTGTAGCTGCCTGGTGCGCCATGCACCAATACGATTGTCACTGGAGCTTCATGACCTCGAAGAGCTTCTTTAAAAGGCGGGATGTCGATGTACTCAACTGTACAGCGACCATGAACGTCGAGATACTTTGGTGAGGGAAGAGGCGGCGGTGGATCTCGTGCTTCACGTGGCGTCGCATCAACTCGAGGAAGGAAACGCCAGCGTTTATAGTTCTTCACAATCGACAACAACCGAGCATGAGGAACGCGTAGCATTAGCAATTGAGTCTGCACGTGACGAGTCGGAGCTGATGTCGACTCAACACTTCGGTTTATGTAACGATGATCGTAAACAATGCAGTGGAGACGTTCACAATCCGTATCACTCTCGAATCAGACACCACCACGCGAAGCAAAGAGGAGATGAAGGCAGTGGTCAGAGCTTCTCGTCGTCTTAGGAGCGCTGCAAGGCAGCATGGAGTTGCAAAACTCGATATGGGAGCTCCCGGTTCATTTTTGGTCGCCAGGCAAAGCTTAGGGCCTTCTCCTTTCGTGTCATTCTCCACGAAGCCACGGGCCTCACCACCTCCGCTTCCGGAACCTCTAGTCATCGACGTGGACGACAAGTGCAAGATCGAGTACATCGACGTCAAACCAGAAGATCTGAGCGCTGCGGCGCCGACGCTGGTGCTGATCCACGGCGCTCCAGGAACGTACAGAGACTTCCGTCACCTCATTCCATTGCTGAAAGACCGTGGCGTTCGAGTGGTTGGCGTCAACTTGCCTGGTTTTGCAGGCTCGACGATTCTAGACACGACAAACTACTACGATCATATCAGTGCATTCCCGTCCGTACAGCTCACATACAAGGCCATGCAGGGCGTGCTCAAAGCCTCAGACAACGTGTTCGTGCTGGGCCATTCATTCGGAGGCCACGCAGCCGTTCACTTTACAGGAATCAATGCGGATGAACAGAGAATTAACATCAAAGGACTGGTACTCCTCGCTGGAGCGGGACATCGTCCACATCAAGCACTGAGCCCCCGTTTAAACGATTTCTTGTGGAAAATGCTACGGTCGGGTTTACCCATGATCGAAAGTACATCCAAGTGGCTCGTCCGACAGCTCTACATCAAGTCGTTCAAGTTCCCGGACAGCAAACTACCGGACTACTTCACGGCTGGCATTGTACGGTGTGCCACGGCCGACTTCCCGTTGTTTGCCAGGCATTTAGAGAAGAATCGAGCACTGCCGAGTTTTCTGGCGTGGGCTAAAGATGACGCGCTGATTGAGGAAGAGATTTTTCTGGATGTAAGTGCAGTGTGCCATCCAGGTCCTCGACTGGCGTTCAAGAAGGGAGGACACAATGTCCAGAAGACCAAAGCTGCTTTTCTCGCTGATGAGCTCACTGACTGGATGGACAACGTCGTGCAAGGCAAAGAACAGAGCGAAGTCTACTCCACAAACGTGGAGATTCATCCCTAAGTATCGAGTTCGATGTAGAAATCCATGAACCATTGGACAGTCCCGATGCACTGCAACTTGATCATATCAAGCCAATTTCATCCTCAACATGGAGAATGTAGCCATCCCGCATTTCTGCCCAATCTCCCCTACCCTCTTCACTTTCATTCGTCAAAACTGCTATTCAGACGTCCATCATTGGTCATCCTCAAGTGTACCAAAATTTCGGCACCTTGTCGCATGGGAAGGAATCAGTCTTCCAGATTCCGCATTGGCGTTCTCGACCAGCCCCTTGGCACTTCATGACGCTCTCCTCGCCGACGCTCCGGACGCGCAGCCGCAGTGGCAGTGACCACGCGAGCTACTTGGCCAAACCTCGTCGCGCGCGCGGCAGTATGGACTCGACAGCATCGTCCGCCAGCGGCGGTGGCAGCGCCAGCAGCTCCGTTTTGCGCGTGTCCAAAGAAGTGGAGAACATCGGCGCGCGTGTGCCCATGTCCAAGAAGCGCGTGACTTGGCGCTTCGTCCTCGCCGGCTCGGAACAGGTTCACACAGTGATGCTGGAGCACAGCCGCATCTCGGCCAAGAAGCGACTGAAACTTGACGGCCGCCGCCTCTACAGCTGTGACCACTACGCGACCAACTGGCACTACGACTTCCACGTGGGCCAGGACACTCTCACACCCTTCCGCGTTGTTATCAGAGACGTCAAGTCGTCCGTAGTGGACCAAGGGAAGCTCGAGACGGTCTACGATCTCCTAGCCGAAGGTGTCCACTGGGACCTGCTGGCGGAAAGATTTCTGCCAATCGCTCATCGCCACCATACAGGGTCCGTTTGGAGCAGTGACATGTATGTGCGTCGCGTGGAGGACACTCGTGGACAACTGTTAAGTGACGGAGATGAACGTCCACCTGGGACGCTACTAACCTGGACATTTGCCTTTGGAGTGAACGGCAGTATCCACAAATTCGAGCTCCGAGATCTGGAAAAAGGCGAGTTTGTGGTGGTTCTGGACTGCCGCGAACTTAAGCGAGTGAGCTTTGACGACATCCATGAGGACATGTGGGAGTTCGAGTACGATCTGGAAGATCAACATGAGCTGGACCTTGTGGTGACGCTGGTGGACGAAGAGAAGACGTACGATTTCTTCATAGACGGTAGCGCGTGGAGCGACATTAGCCAGACCAACTTTGTGCTCGAGTCGGGGTGGTATCCCGTGTACTCGCGCTCTCGCAGTGCCGTCTACTTCCGTCATGAACAGACTGGGAACACTCAATGGGAGAAGCCGATAGTTGACCGCGAGGATTCACGAGTGAACCGTCCGATTCAGGAGTTTGAACAGGTTTCTCCAGGTTCTCAGGGTCTGGACGACCTGATCCATAGCATGCACGCTGCGTCGGTCAAGGAAACGATCCAGGAGGAGCCTGAAAGCGAACATGAAGAAGCGCCTCAGCTGGTGCCAATGAAACAGCCACTGCAGCCAGTACAGGAAGTCCCCGAAGCGCTGGAAAGACAGGAAGTGCAGGAAGCCAACCTCATTGACTTCTCCGATATGGGTGCAGTACACTCTTCGCCTCAGAAGCCGATGCATGGGTACGAAGGGTTTGATCCGTTCAACCCTGCTACTCACACCGGATTCGTCCAAAAGGAGCAGAATTCCAAGCACACACAAGCACCAGTGGATCTACTGAGCCTTTAGAGGGCGTAAGGCTTTCAAGCGAGTGCGTTATTTATGTGTAGGGAAAGTTGGTAGTTTGCATTCATAGTGAGGCAGACAGAAAGAGTCTGTAGGTTTTCCTAGTAGCTCAGTGGGTAGCTAATTAAGAAGTTTCTTGATCAAGTCGTTGAGTGGCTCTTGTTCGCGTTTGTCCACGAGGTCGAACTGCGTCACGAAGGCCATAAAGTGTTTAAAACACGAGTTGAGGTGTGCTTCAGCACCAATGCTGACGATCTTGTCAAAGTGCGAGTAGTATACGTGTGCGTAGACTCTGAAGAGACGACGGAAGATGTTCTTTACCACAGACTGGAAGCCGCGACAATAGGGAACTCCTTCACGCGTTGGGAAGAGCGTCTCGTCACTCAGCAACTCCTCCACCCACGTCATGAGCATGTCGATGTACTCGGGGGCCGCGAGTTTCGCTGGCGTCTTGTACTCTTTGTTGTCCTTCCACAAATACTCGAACTTGGGCCCAGCTCGCATCTCTGGACATGATTCGCACGTGCAAAACTCGAGGATTGTACCATACACGATGCTGATCTCGTTGAAGAAGTCCACTGCTGCTCATAGGTAAAATAATATTAGGGAAGAGTTTATGCCAAGAAAGAATCACTATTATCAGACGTACTGTGGACAGCAAGCCACTCGTTCAAGTCTTCTCCTTCAGGTAGCGCAACAGCATTCCTCATATCGCCACTACCAATAGAACATGAGTAAAAAGCATAAAAGGCAACTTTTTCGTTTGCAACTTCAACAAGAGTAATGGTTGACCTACTTTCCCAGTGTGGCTTGAGCGTGCTTGTGCAGATCATAGCGCTTGGTACCGTGGCTGTGGCTCTTTTGCGGTCGGAAAGTCTTGTTACGGTTGAACAGGTTGTTCATGGTGAATACACTCGTTCCCAAGTCGGCAAATGAACAAATGCAAGCAACTTTTAGACATTAGCAAATCGCCTGCCACAAATAGCGCAGACGAAAACAAAAAACCGTTATTTGCGAACTTAAGGCGAACTTAACGGGCTCTGGTCATACGTGGCAAAATGATCCGCAGTATTAGGGAGCTCGTCGCTCCCGAGGACGTAGGGGTCACTCTGCCCCACGAGCACGTTCTGCATCATATTGGCGCTAATTCAGCAACCGCTTCCTCTAATGCTGACCTGGAGATCCGCTTTGAAGACCTGATTGACTATCGTCTCGATCCTTTCGCTCACGGAGGTCGCAATCTGCTAATGCAGAAGGAGGACGAAGCTTTCCGAGAGCTAGAGAAGTTGCAGCAATTAAAGGGCAAAAATCTGAAGCCTTTGGTTGTTGATATGACCCTCCCAATTCAGGGACGTGACGTTTTCGTGAAGGAACGACTTCATTTGGACAAAAGACTGGAAGATCTGAATCTACTGACGGTCACAACGTTTGAGGTTGAGAGGATTAATGACGCGTTTGCTATTGGATTAACAGCGAAGGAGCAGAGTGAACGTATTGCTAAAACGTTGGAAGCAGAGCTCATGTTTGGAATAGAAAGTGGAGGAAGTGTGGTGTTTCCTGGAGCCATATACCAGCAGATTTGCGCGGTTAATGGAGAGCTCAGTGCAAAGGAACAGGTTCTGGCACACGGACTGGGGTTGGTATGTACGGTAGAAACGCTGCTGTGATAATTTAAAGGGTATTGCTGACTTTGTTTTGGGTGCTTTTGATATGACAGGCACAAGCGAAGACACATGCACCACTGTATTTGTCATTTTCGTGCGACGAGCAGATGATTCGAGTTTGGATCCGCGCGCTATTGGATGCAGGTGCTGAGAAGAAGAAACTTGTGGTGTGTCACGCGGATCGTTGGTGTGGAGAAGGAGCCGATTGCGCATTTCTTCTGGAGCTGCTGCTTGACTCGGGCGTCTCGGTGCTTTTCAATATGGTCGGTCTGCTGGCAGTAAGCGATGCGATGATGATCAACCCGTGCCTCTCAAGCACCAGTGAATCTTTGGACAATGAAGACCAACTACCTCCTTCCGATAGTCGCCTCGCTAAGTGGATTGCAGGCTTGATGAAGACCAAGCCGCAATATTCTTCCCAGATTCTCTTGTCTACGAACGTGCACCAGCGAATTCAATATCGACGCTATGGAGGTGGAGGCTACACGTATTTGTTTGAGTATTTCAAGCACCGTCTTTTGCGTCAAGGAATCTCTGAAGCTCAATGGGATCAGATAGTACGCACGAATGTCGTGGATCTACTGGCTTGGTATGTACCTCCTGAAGCCCCGCCAATTCCGAAGAATTATCTGCAATGTTCGATCTGTGAAAAGTACTTTGAGCCGATTGAGGGCGAGTATTTCACCAAGTTTACGTTCATCTACTGCGGTACCAAGTGTCTACGTCGTCATAGCAGGCAAAAGTTCGCCCCGCTTCCACCAAAATAAATTTGGAAATGAAGGGGAAAGTTGGAGAATAACTATCATAGTCCGAAGAAATTTGTCAGTCTTAGACTGGCTTGATTAAATTCGCTAGCGATGCCACTGCACCTTCAGGCAGTCTCTTTCTGAGCGCTCGCTGAAATGATGTTGCTTGGCGGATTTGAGACCTCACAGCTTTGCGTAGCTTGATATTCTCCACCTCACTGGTTTGTCGGAGCAGGAACTGACGCTCGGCGATCCTTTTCCACATCTGTACTCCACTTGTCTTGATTGATTGACGCTTCCCTTTTAACCTGTTCGTTTTTGCGCTTACTTTCACCTTGTTTTTGAGCTCTTGAAGCCTGGCTGATAGTCGTTTGATAATTTGGCGTGCATGGTAGACTTCTTGCTGCTGTCGCTGACGCCACGTTCGTTTCTTTCGCACTTCCAACTGCTCAGAGCTAAGGGAGTTGGAAGGCGGGGATGGCGCGTCAGTTGTTATTGCTGGGATAACGTAAGCTCTGTTTGCTATTTCATACTCCGTTAGAAACGCGAGTACCGAGGATTTCACCACAGAGAAGTCGTCGATTTCCGATGTCATTACAGACAACGATTCTGGTAGGTTCTGGAAGATTTCAAAGTAAAGAAAGGAGAGGCGGGTCTTAACCAACAAGTCTCGTAAGTCATGGGATCAGATTGCGCGCATGAATTTCGTACGTCATACGAGGTACCGCTATGCGGTCCGAGATCAATCAACTCCGGCTTTCACTAAAAGTTTCCATCCAGCCAGATTGCATATTGAAATCTACTACATATAAGTACTTAGGAAGTAGTGATTGTAGTATAGTACATGCAATACTCATTTATGTGCTCACCAAAGGAGTTATACGTAAACTTTATTTTGGCACTATGATGGCCTTTCTTCAATAAAGGCATAAAATGTAGTAAAACTGTTGTCGAAACAAACCATAGGAAAAAAAGACGTAGCAGTTGCGGTTGTTCATCCGAGGGTGATATTCTGCTTGGAGCAGCTACTTCGTATTACTTTGAAGTACTACTTACTGCTCGTCCGAATCAGCTTGTCTTCTAGGGCATAGTTGTACTGTGTAGCAAAGCCTTCCCAGGTCTTGAGACCGATTTCGATACTTGGGCATCCTGTCATGTCTGAGGATAATAAATCTCCATAGGAAACCGCTTCACGATGCGTCAGGATTATCGTCGTCGGACCACGTGACGAGGGTTCCCCACGCAACAAGACCCTGCGGTTGGTCTCGACAAATGATAATGGACCAATACTTGGTTCTATAAGCGATCGCGTAATGAACACGACTCGGTCTTTCTCGACGTATTTCCGAGTCACAATTCGCATGACGATACTGAAATCGATACCTTCCAATGAAAATGGGAAACCCATGCTGATCATACGCGTATTATCGTCGGTAGCACTCTGCCATCACATATATCTGGTCAGTTTAAAACGCACCGAAAAGATCAACTCATGTCTAACGTACCTGCATGAAAAACAGGGCGGGGTCTTCACTGTCTGCTGTATCAGGAGTCCAAATCGCCTTCTCTATCTGAAGTAGATCAAATGGTATCGCATAGCTATCCAGGAACTCCACCAGCGTCATTCGTGCTCCACTGTTCATTGAGTTCTTCTGTAGACCAGAGCGTGACAATTGATCCATTCCCACTTGTTTGAAAAAGATGTCCAAGCCTCCGTACAGCTCGTCTATCCCTACCTTGAGTTGGTTAAACACGGCCTCATTATTCAACGGCGGGGTTGCTCGTTTCGAATGGTGCTGTAACTGGTTTATCATATCCATCTCAGGTGACATCAAAATAGCTCGAAGCTTTCGTTTGACTGCACGATTCAACGATTTCGCTTTTTGTATGTGATACTCCAGTGATTCCCGCAGGTTGGTGTTCTCCTGTTCGCTGATCGAACGAAGATTGGCTTGATGTTGTGCAGTGTTTTCCCATATCGACGCGTGCGAGCTGAACGGCGATGAATCTTTTGCCGCTTTAATCTTCTTTGACTGTCGATATCTGGAATGCACCCCAAGTGCATATTTGAGTTGTTGGAGTTCGGCGGAGAGCTGCTTCACCTCGTCCCTAAGGTTCAGAATCTCCTCTTTACGACGCTGGCGCCACGATTTCTTCTTTTCCACGGGCTCTTCAGACGTAATACAAAAACTAGAGCTGTCGGATTGTGTCGACATAGCGCCACAGTGTGAGGTAGTCGAGATCGTTGGAACTGGTTCCATTTCGTCCACCAAATCACAGTCAGCAAGGAATGCGAATACTGATGCTTCGTCCAGCAGGAAATCCATGTCGCCATACATTGGGGAAGGCATGATGTCTTCCAGATTGTCTTACCAGTCGCGTGAAGATTTCAAGAATGAAGCTACAGACAATACCATCCGCATTGTGGTAAACAAATCGAACTCGAAGAATCGTAATCACCAGTGTAGAAGATCCGCTTCGTTGTCTACCGCGGTGTCCGTGAGATGGGTCTCCACTTGTGATATTCGTAGGGTCTCGATCCGGTTCTCCACCCTGGCAGGACCGATAGCGATCACACCAATAATTGACTTTTCGTACCGAGATGACCTCTTATTCACAGAAGATATAACTCTCGTTCAGAATTATTAGACAACTATGTCGTGCGTAACGAACTCACGCCTTCAAGCATCTCCGCAGCTTCATTTCCCGTTTCTTGTTCAGCTCTACCATTGTCCCCACGAAACGATCAACATTACCACCTTCATCTCCACCTCCAAAACGCATCGGCGCAACTCTCACATGACTGTGGATAATTGCGGAAGCGAACGACTTACAAGTGTCTGGGTCTGGTCGAAGGATTTCAATCCAACCTGTTTCATTGGCGTTCATCCCATGCCACCCCTCGGTAAATGCACGCCACACGAGGACGTACCGGTTTGACTCCACATACTTCCTTGCCGCGGAAGACTGACAAGGCAACTCTCTCCCCAGATACTGACGGATGCGCGAGATCGTGCTTCACTGCGACCATGTTCTCGTTATCACCCACGTCGTCGTTATAGTGACCATCACCTGACCCGATTAACATGACAGACGAAATAGCGTTGCAGAATTGGTCGAACGAAGCAGGTACAATACGTCCATCGGTGCTTACAACGCTTTGACCGAGTTTATGCCATTCTCGCGGTTTATAAGACACAGGAAAATTCGAAGTCCCACACACGACCCCATCTCTCCTTTCCTCGTATAGAGGAGCCAGATTGGACTTCAATGCTCTAAGCAGCGGGACGAGATTACACTCAGCCGATGACGACGAAAGATTATACAAGCTCAGACTTTTATCAGCGGCAGTGTCTGGCACGTAGCGCAGATAATCGGCGAGGCAAACAGCAGTTTAGTAGACAGAATGCAAGCAAACAACGTCTTCCCACTGAGCACTTTGGGATTAAGGAGGAAACTCGAAGAGTGAAAACCCCCTTTTCGTTAAGCCTGAGACTATACACTATCGGACGTATACTTCAACTGCAACAGTACGGTCCCAACCGTATACTCAGCCACTACACAACACGACCATCGTCATACTCCCACTTCGTGTTTCTGGTGGCTGTTGTTGCTTGTTAATTTTTACCACTTGCATCTGAAGCAGGAGGCACCGGCATAACATTCAGTAGCTGTCGTAGCTTTCGAAACTGGAGTGGGCCGAGAGGCTTGGTTAAAATGTCTGCCAACATATCCTCTGAAGGGCAGTACTCCAAAGCAAACTCTTTTTGCTCAACGTAATCACGAATCT